CGAATTAACAATCCGACTTGTATAATAACAAAATTGGTTATAATGATTAATAGCCGTGTGAAATATTTAACTTTATAAATCGACTAAAATCGACTTAAAGATGTCAACTTTATAAATAAACTTAAGATATTGTATTGATGCTGAACCAAGTTATATAATAAATTGTTTCCTATTACAAAATTTCTTTAGCATATAACCATCTAAAATTGAAAAAATGGGGGTTTTATATTATGTATGTATTTGCAAGCTAACAACCAAAGTGATAACTTAAACATCACCTGGTTACAATTCTCGAAAACAACTTCCAATTCTGGCAAAAAAAAAGATACAATTCGGTAAAACAATAAAACTCCTTAAATAAAATATATTTATTTATTTAAGAAGAAAATATTAGATGTAATGATGCCAATCACCATTTTTTATAAATAGTTCTAATGGCATTTAGATATAGTAAAAAAATAGTGAATGCCTTTCAGATAAATGTATATAACCACTACGATCACATTATGGCAAAAGGCATGAATGAGATGCTTGTTTTCATAATATAAAAAAAAAAAATCAATTCAAGTAATAATCGTAAATAAAATATTACTCATTCCATAATATGGAAGTACAAGATGAATAACACGAAAGAATATAAAGGTGATCAAATAAATTTATCAAACAGCAAAGAACGAAGTTATGTGTGTTGAACACGGAAGATTTGCACGTCCAACACCTTTTCGTGTTGTACCACAGGAAATGCTTTTTCATATGGTCCCGTGCAACAAAAAAAAGGCCACTTTATTTTATGTTCGTCTGCGGTGCGTGGGAACAATTTACAGTCGTTATATTGATTATATTTTTTTTTTTTTAAAAAAAAAAAAAAAAATGTCAACTAAAAAAACGTTTACGATCGGTAGTCGTAATTCTGAACTCGCATTAATTCAGACAAACCATGTTCAAAATGTTCTTCAGTTAACCTATCCCGATTTCGAATTTCCTATTAAATCTATGACCACTGTGGGGGATCAAATACTTAATGTACCTTTATATCAAATCGGTGAAAAGTCATTATTTACTAAAGAATTAGAAACCGCCTTACAAAATAATCAAGTTGATCTGGTAGTTCATAGTTTAAAAGATTTACCTACAACTTTACCGGTTGGAATGACGATCGGGGCAATTTTGAAAAGGGAAAATCCTCATGATGCTGTGGTGATTAAACAAGGTTTAAATGTTAAATCTTTAAAAGAACTACCTAAAGGAAGTATAATTGGAACTAGTAGTGTTAGAAGAACTGCTCAATTAAAGAGGGCTTTTCCAGATTTAATATTTCAAAATGTTGTAGGTATATATATATATATTTTTTAATATAAATCAATATTAATTTTTTAGTTATTTAATTAATCACTAATATCAAATTTATATTCAAGCGAGGTAATTTGTAAGTATAATTTATTGATTGTTATTATTTATTATTATTATAACACACATGACCACACACACTCAACGAGCATTTATCACACATCAACTTTTAGGAACACTCGTCTCAGAAAATTGGATGATCCAAATGGACCATATTCAGCTTTGATTTTAGCCGTTGCGGGACTCATTCGATTAAATCAAAATGATAGAATATCAGAAATTCTTCCTTCCTCTATTATATTACATGCAGTTGGTCAAGGTGCTCTAGCTGTAGAATGTCGAACTAATGATGAAGAAGTAATTAAACTTCTTTCAGTACTTGAAGATGAAGATACAAAATTATGTTGTACAGCTGAACGTTCTTTATTAAGAATTTTAGAAGGTGGTTGTAGTGTTCCGATTGGGGCTAATACGGAATTTATAGAGTCTAAAAATGGTAAACGCGAACTTAAATTAATTGCTGTAGTAGCAAAACTTGATGGATCTGAAATTATTAAAGCTGAAGCATTAAAAAATGTTGATGATAATGATAATGATAGTGATAAGGTTAATGTTGCAAATGAACTTGGAAAAGAAGTTGCAAGAATTTTAATGAAAAATGGTGCAAGCAATATCTTACAAGAATTAAAAAATAAAAGTATCAATTCTTGATTTCATTAACACATCTCATTTGTTTATATCTATTAATATATAGATAATAAAATGAGTTTGTGAATATATTTTTATGTAATATTATTACATAAAAAAAATTTTTTTTTTTTACCCAAATTGGGAGGGAAAAAAAAGAAAATAAAAGATGAAAGTAAATTGTCATTAATTAATTAATTATTATTAAAATAAAAATTTCAATGTTTTTTTGTATTACTATTATTAACGCCACCATAATGCAAAATTACTTCATAACAGAAAAACATTATTGCGGCATTAGGTACTACACGCATCATATGTGCAGTAATGCCACCATAAAAAGCCCAGAAACCCTCTTCCTTCAAAATAGTCTTAAAACAATGAATAAGACCTTTATATTTAGTTCCTCCTTCCTCAGGAAGCTGTCGTAAACGTGTTCGAAGAACCTTTGAAAATATAGTTGATTAAAAGATATAACAATAATATATATGTATATATATATATATATATATATATATAAATATATTATTATATATATCAATATACATAAGAATTAATACATGAACGAATATAAATGAATTCATAAACATAAATGAATAACATACTTCATGAGGATAACTAACGCAGGCTGCTAAAAATTTAGAGGTACCCGCCGCAAAAAAATTATCTATCATTCCAATTCCCCAGTAAGGTTTTTGATCACCTATAATCTCTCTTCGTTCTCTTCGTTCTGCAAGCTTCGATTTAAAAAATTCATATGAAACCCACTGTATAGTACTTTCGGTTACACCTAAAATTTCCTCATGGATTTCAATAAATCAATAGAACCTAAAATATTATTAATTCATTAACAAAGATAGAAATAATTACATAATTACCGAGATAAGATGCCGATAACCCTCTATATAAACCTTTTATACCTTCTTCTCGAACAACTTTTTGCAAACAATCAAGAGAATTCTTATATTTTACAGAGGAATTTGAATTGGGTGAGGTAGTTTGAAGTTGCATTCGAGTTTTAACCAGCCATATGGGATTGGTTACAGTAGAAGTTGTAAGTCCTATTTATTATTTAACAATAATTGAATATATAAATTACTTAGAAATAAAATGAAAAATTTTAATTAAATTACTTCTTTAAATCATATGTAATTTGTATACATTTAACCTGCGGTGATAGCAGCTGTCAAATGCACAAGGGTTGTTTCATCTCCACCATTCCATTCTATTAAAAGTCTTTTGCCATTTCCATATGTAAAGAAGTTAATCGCTCTACATAAATCAAATAAAAATTTTTAAATATTTAAAATATTTCTGCCTAAATATTTATCTAAATAAGCTTAATCTAAAATGGTGGTTGTTTTTTCTAATAAATAAATATATAAAATATCTGTCCGTCTGCTTGTTTTAAATATTTTATTTAAATATGATTTATATCTAAATGTCTACCTAAATAATTTGATTGTCTAAATATATATCTAAATATATATCTAAATATTTATCTGTTCTGTCTAAATGTTTGATTAGTTTTTTTTTTTTTTTATTAACTTTATAATATAATTAAAAGAAATAATTACTGTACCTAGCCGGTACGACACCAATTAGATTTGGACCTAGTCCTTTGAATAAAGCGTTTGCACCTTCAGTACGGTAAACATATCTAAATAATAATAATTGAATAAATATATTTTCTCTGTGTATATAATATGTAATAATAATAATAATAATAATAATAAAATACTTCATTAATTTTCCAATGTCAATGAAAGGTTTTAAAAGTAATATTTTCGATTTAACAAATGGTTGTATATTCTTTGTTTTGGAAGTATAAATTGATGACTAAATAAAAAAAAAAAAAAATAAATAAAGACAAGATTATTTAAAGATTATAATAATTCCTTATAAAATAAAATAAAAATTTTATTATTATTAAAAATAAAAGATACCTGCAAACGAGTTCTCATAACATCTAAAGGAGAAGTAACAACTGCTCCAACCATTCCTCCAATACTAAAAGAATTTGACCGAAATTTCTTTATTACAAGTGTTAAAGTTATGAATAAAAAGAATATATAAAAATATTACCCTCCAGCCACAAAATGGAGCCATGCTTTAGAAGATGCACTGGTCGCTTGACTTTTTGAAGTGGTCGGAGTTTGATGTATAACAGTGGTGGTTTGTGTTGATGAAAGTTTTAGTTGTGGTTGTTTATTTGCTGTTGTAGTAGCCATCTCAAACTAAAGTTAGATATATTTATTTATGACTAACTCGTATATTTTTTTTTCGATTTTATAGTTGATCGGTAAGGATTTTGATTGGCTAAAAAGTTTAAATTTTATATGAAATTAATTTTGGGGTTTTACAAATCTCAAGATCATGTTCGATTGAAGTTTTTCAAGTAATTAAATAATTTGGAAGGAAAAATTCATCTATAAATTTAAATTATTTTATTTAACAATACAATTTTGCAATTAGTGCGATCATATGAAAATCTGATAATTTAATTAATTTATAATTGATTTAAATTCGCTAGGGGGCCAAACTTGTGCTATCCCCTGAATTTATGTAGATCACCAATCCAAAGGCACATTCAACGATTTTTTGAAGGTGAAAAGAATAGTTGAGAGTTATATAATAAATATTCCGCTTCTTCAAGCTGTGCTTACACCCGTAATTGCTTTAAAACATGAATAGTAGCTTTTTTGACTTCTAAATTTGAGTTGGAATTTGTTGTAAATTTTCTCATAAACTTTTCTTGGAATAACATTTCTCCATATTTTTTTGATAAATAAATTTGAATTCTTCACGATTTAATTCAATATCATTATTATTTGTTGTTGATTCTAAATTAAACCAGAAGAGTACCTTTTTATTTTTTAAGAAAACTGGTCTGAAACAAAGACATAAAAATTTCTATCTTTTTTTTTGTCATAAACTAAGAGTCCCCCTATATATATATATATATATATTTTTTTTTTTTTATAATTTGCCATCAAACTCTAATCGTAAATGATATAATTCTTGAAGGGCTTCAGGTTTTCTTCTTTTTTTTTAATACTTGAGAGTTGTTTTCGTCATTTAATATACGTTTCTAATACACAAAAACATTTCAAATTAAATTTTTTTAGAAATTTAACTTTTATTGATTTTTTTTTTCAAAACAAAGTTGAAAGTCGCGAAAATAAACAAATACCGCATTTCAAGGGTAAAATATTTTAATTCAGGGGCAGTTTGTTTCAATGCTTAATTTAGAAATTATCTAAATGATCTCGTTTTGCTTGTTGTTAGATATTTATTTCGTGGGTCATTTAAGCATATTTTTTATTCTATTTTTTTTTTATTATAGTATCGCCAATGCTATAATAATTGGATAATTGAAGAATAAAAAAAATTAACTCAAACCAGGTGTATACAATATCCTGCATATAGTTTAGTCGCAGAATGGGTAATGGGATAATAATATTGATCCAATGCTTATACAAAATGTTGTGGAATATCAAATAATCAAAAAAAATCTATGAAAATGAAAAAAAAAGAAAATTTTTTTTGTATTATAATAATAAGGACGATAAATTGATAACAATAGTAATAAAAATAATAATATAGTAATTAGTAGTAATAATAGTAATAATAATAGTAATAAAATAATAATATTATTAATAGATTTATGATCATCCGAGAACAATATTACCTTGTACATTTAACAGGGGGTATTTTGCCCCAGCGTGAATTCCGCAAATACCAAAAACAAAGAGAAGCGTGGTTTTCTGTTTCCTATTTATCGAATTGTCTTTAATAATTTCATTAATGATACTTTTATTAAGTATTAAATTATTTAACAATTTTCTTTAATTTTCTCATCTCGCTAGTTTGTATGGTATTAGTATTATATGAAACATAAAAATAACCACTTTTGATGTCAAATAGCATGTTTAATTTTTTTTTTTTTTTAGAACATTTTTGTTTTGAAGGTTTCTGCATTTTGGCAATCCTCGTTTTAACTTTCAATTTTTTCTGTACAAATCAAATTTTAACAAATAAATCTGGGACAAGGCAAATGAAAAATAGCTAGGTTTCAAGATTCTTATAAATAGTAACTTTCTTATAAATAGTAAGTTTCTATAATATAGAAAGAATTTCATTTTCGCAGGTGTTTCATAAGTGACAATACATAATCAAATAAAGAAACAATAAAAATATGTAAATTTTTCGTTATCTTAACGAAATATTAAGTAACACCAATAAATTCATTAATTCCCTATATGGATTTAATGAAAACTGACTACAAAATTAGTGAAACCATTTTTTTTAATTTAAACCCAAGAATTCGACCATTCTTCCATAATTCAACAGTTCAATAATTCAAAAATTCAAAAATTCAACAATTCAACGATGGAAAACCAAAAAAACGATATCAACATCCTATTACTCGGCGAGACCGGTGTAGGAAAATCTACATTTATAAATGCCTTCTTAAATTATCTTATGTTTGATACATTAGATGATGCAAGAAATGGTGATTGGAAAGTACCGATCCCTTCGAAATTTAAATTGACAGAAGAAAGCGGTCAAATGAGAACAATAGAAATCAGTAATGATGATTCTTCTAACGAGAAAACTAATGTAAACGAAATTTCCGCGACTCAAGAATGTTCAAGTTATGTGTTCCACAACGATGATGTGCGCATAAGATTGATCGACACTCCTGGTATTGGTAACAAACGCGAAATTGAGAAAAATTTTGATAACATCTTAATGTTTGCAAATCAATACCAACACCTGAATGGGATCTGCATTCTCCTCAAACCTAATAATACACGATTGAGATTTGACATGCAAGAATTGTTGTCACATCTTAATAAAAGTGTAAAGAACAATATTGTTTTCTGTTTTACCCATACTAAACCAACATTCTATCGTCCGGAAGATACAATGGGTCCACTCGGAGAACAACTCTCAACTCTTAAGAATCAATTTAAGGTTGAAATAAATCTTAATCAAGATACAGTTTATTGTTTTGATAATGAATCTATTCGATTTTTAGCAGCAGACAAAGCAGGTGTGAAGTTTGAAAAAGGATATGAAGAATTTTCCGAAAGCTGGAGAAAATCCGTAGAAGAATCATCGAGACTTCTCAAATACTTTGAGAATTGTAAACCTCACAAAATAAATGATACATTATTAATTAAAGATGTACGAGATATCATGATGCGTTTAGCTAAACCTCTTGCAGAAATAGGAACTCGCATTCACGCAAATATTGGCTTTCTTCATGATCATCTAAAAGAAATTGAAAATACAGCTGAAACAGCCAAAAATCTTATAGATAAATTATATATTAAACAACTTGATTTTAAACCCGAAAAATTACAACATCCGAGAACTGTATGCACCAGCGCTAGTTGTGTTCAAGTTTCTACCAAGAATGGAGCTAATATAATAAACTATATTACTCATTGTCATAAAAGTTGTGGTTTATCAGGCGTTAAAAGTTATGAGAAAAAAAATCCAGCCTTAAAAAATTGCGGTGCTATGGAAAATAATGGAACTTGCAAAACTTGTAAATGTAATTGGGATACTCATATGCACGTTGATCATGAATTAATACCTGTATATACAAAAGTCATTGACAAAAATGTAGAAAGTGCAATTAATGAAAAGCGTTCTTTCCAAGAACAAAAGAAAATGGCTATGGAGGCTTCCCTAAGAAAAGTTGCTGAATTGAAAGAAGAACAAAAAGTAATAACTGATATAAATGTCAAGTTTGTACAATTTCTAAAACAAAGTACAATAGTCCCTTTCATCGATGCGTATATAGATTACTTGGATCATTTCATAAAGGAAGAAGAAATTAAGAAGAATGTTAGTCCTAAGAATTTCAATGATGCAGTTCTCAAAGGACTCGAAGATGCGAAGAAAGAATACACGGAAAAGATAAATCTTATTAAAAAATCGATTGAAAATAATGATAATTCGATAGAAACAATCTCGCCAGACGATATGTCTAAAATTGAACAACAATTGAATGAATTAAAACATAATGGTGAGGCACTGAAAGATATAAAGGAGAAAAAGGAGAAAGAAAAGTATAATCAAAAACATATATTCGAAAATCAAGAGAAACATTATAATTTTCCGAAAAAAATCCACCCTGAAAGCCAGGAAATTGATCAACAAATTTTAACTGAAACAGAAAAAGATAACGTTGATGAAACTAAGATTTTCACAGTACAACAAGAACAAGAAAAAGAAAAAGATGGGGAAGTTGATGAAACTAAGACTTTCAGAGTAAAACAAGAATATTATGACAAAGCAACAGAAATTTATAAATCACTTAAAACTGAAACTCTTTTGATTGGTTTGAGCTTTATTTTTGCTCTTATTATTTCTATGTCCTATAGTAATTAAATAGAAAATTTTATACCCAGGATTGCCATCCTGGATGTAACTTAAAATAAAAAGAATAGTATCAGTATTTAAATTTTATAACATGTATTTTAATAGAAAATAAAAGATCATTTCTTTTTTTGCATAATTGCTCGTATTATACTTTCTGTTACCACGTGATACTAATTTGATTGCTCAATATGTGTGACATAATCGAAATTTCCGAATGTGTTATTTAAACGGAAAATTTATTTTTGCTCAAAAATAAAGTTTTAAATAAAAAAAAAAAAATCACCAATTAAAAAATAAAGTATTATGTAAATAATCTTTAAAAGTCCGTGGCATTGTTCTTATAAATTAATTTCGGATAACATTTTTCAATAGGACGAAAATTTTTTTCAATTTCTTTTACCCATCTTGAATTCTTTTTTGTTTGTTTGATCTGTTAAAATAAATAAGTATAATAAATAATTAATTATAAATTGATAAATAAATAAATTTAATACTAAATATTACCTTTAAGTATTATTAATTGTTCGTGTTGTTCCTCCAATCTGCTTTTTCTCTTTTCATTAAAAATATTTGTTCAAATTTTTTATTTCCTTCCAAACAAAACGAATAGCGGACGGATATTTTATCAAAATATTGAATTCTTTACATGTAGTGTCATATATTTTAAATTTCGAGTCTTGTATTATATCCCATTATTTAGTTAAAAAATCAAGAGCAATTGGATTTTCTTTCAAAAATATAATTTAATAAGATTTTTCTTCTAGCCATTCTTTTGCGAAAAAAAAAGAATTATTATTATGGTTATATTCATAGGGCACTTTTGGTGGAATGTAACATACCCGGATCGTACCACTATGTTATTTCTCAAAAGAGCGAAAGAAAGAAAAAATCAAAAGAAAAATTTCTCAGATGATGATAAACAAATTGCAATGCAGTTTAATTACCAATATAGATGCAAAAATTCAATGGAATAAAAACAATTTATTTAATATTAATATTAATAATACATGGGGAACAAGTAAAAAAAAAAATAATGCGATAAATAAATTGTTATAAAACAATTAGATTTTAATTAAATAATACGAATAAAATCTAGTAATTAAAATGTATAAAAAACATCAAGGAACGCTTTCGACGAATTTTCTTTCCATCGTCTTTTTTCTTTCTTTCTTTCTTTCTTGTAATTTTAAAGATCTTTTTGAAAATTTATTATTATTATTTATATTAGTCGATAGACTATTATTATTTTTTTTTTTTCGAAAAGATTTCATAAATATTTTATATATCAAAAAAAAAATAAAAATAAAAAATAACAAACCTTATTTTTAAATAATAATAAACTTTTGAACAAAGTTGTATTACAAAATTTTTTCACATTTCACAAATTATATTTTTCTCTCACATTTTTCACATTTTTTTAAAAAAAAAATTCAAAAATGATTGCAACAACAATGAAATATCTTACGTCTGCGCTTCCCTATTTATGGTGGTGGTAAATGCTTTTAGCGCTAACCTTATGCTTCAATTGGTAAATGCTGAACGTTCTAAACGAGATATTGCTCCAGTGCCATTGGATCAGTAAATTTTTTTTTATTATTATTGTCACCATTTATTTACTATTTTTCGTATTTATCGAATTTATTTTGTCAATATTTTATATTTTAGACGTCTCATAAAACGCCGTTACAGTACAAGTTGATTATTGTGTTAGTAATAAGAATACACTTACACATGATGATCCAATAGGTGATCTTAGTGCCAGAATTAAACGTTTGGTTATCGTTGATCAAATACTGGTGAAAATCTTGCTTCTGGATTTAGTACCGAAGAAGCAGTTACGACAGCGTAAGTTTAATTCGTGATTCGCTAGAAACGGAAAGGATTTATGTAATTTTGGGGCAACTTTTTACAATTATATATAAAAATTAATTTTTTAATCGTTAAAAAAACGACATATCTCTTTGTTTTGTTGACATTATCATTTGAAACTAAAAATATATTTAAATCAGAACCATGGCTTTTTATGATGTTAATGGAGAAAGGGAATTTTATAAGATAGTTCTTGTGATATTCTTATTCCGGAACGAGATTATGGTTCTTATATGTAGATCTCTTTTATCGCGAATCACGAATTAATTATCTTAATAATAATAACAATAATTAGTAATTTTATTCTTTCTTTTATTAATTTTTAATTTATTTATTTCATTTTAAAAGATGGATGAATTCACCAGGCCATCGAGCAAATATTCTAAATTCAAGATTCAAACATATGGGTGTAAACTACTTGGGGTCAAGTTTTGGTTCATTGCTTGATAATGGACCTGCTGTACCTCTTACCTGGTTCCAGTTCTTCTGCCACTACCTCAAAATCTATTACCACCACACTATAACATAATATTTTTCAATATAAAGTTCTTGAAGTGGAATAAATTGTCCAATTGGTGATGATTTTCTCTCAATGTGATAAAAATAACCTGATTTTAAATGAAGACTCTTTAATGTTTCTTTTGACTAATGATAGCCGCGAGTAATAAATAATAGTCTAGATAAAAATGATAGATTTTCTAAGCGTTTTTGAACATTAATAAAATTTTCTAACGATTCCATTTGAAGATTTGAATTCAAAGATAAATTCATATTTAAAATATTATCAAATACTTTCGGAGCACCAGGTAACTCGAGAATTAAACAATTAAATCACTATTTCGTCTATTATTTTAAAAGAATCCACAAATTTACAACGTTTTATTATTAATTTGCATACTCACGAAATAATTTTCTTGATTTGGTGATGGCGATTTTCTTATTATCTTGATCTGGGACCAATAATTTGTTGACTAATTTGTGGTGAATATATGGAAATAAAAGAACTAAAGCATTAATTATAAATTTAGAAGGTAATCCCAAAAAGTATAGGGGTATAGTAACTTTTACACCAGATTTGATTAACTAATAATGATGAATATAAATCTTTAGTTTATTGAACATTATTTAAAATCATAATCAATAATTCTGTGGAATTTTAGTTGTCATTTTTTTTTGCCTAAGAAAAAATAATCATATAACATTTATATGATTCAGAGTGTAACTGTAATAGTTATCAAAAATAATAATCGAAAATACACAAACATACATTATTAATTAAATAACATAAATAAAATAATTTGAAGTTTTTATTTATTATTCACTATCGATATGTATATGCATTTGTTATTATTAATATAATGTTATGTTTATTATTACTGTCGAATATTTGATTAAATACATTTATTAGTTATTATTATGTCTAATTAATATTCAATTAATCTAATTAAATTATTATTAATAATTCTCGATATCTAATTAATTTATTATTAATAAGAATTCAGGGTCAAGGGCATTTTATTAACTTGAATTTTATAATTTAGAAATACTATTTATCCTAAATAGTAAGTTATTAATTAATTAATTTATTATTTTTTTTTAGTAGTACAATTTATTTTGTCGCGAACGTGAAGAAACAGTAATATAATAAAATATTAAAAAAAAAGAACCAATAGAAAATAAGGCCTGAAAAAAATAAAAAATGGTGAGATAAAAAATAATAAAAATACAGTGGACCCCCTTTACAAGCACACCATAGAAACCAAAAATAAAAGGTGTGATTATAACCATATAGAGGGATTTTTATATAGTATTGGTTATCATGAAAGGTGCGTTTATAAGTGGGGATTTATATGATGTGATGACTATAGAGGAGGTCCACTGTAGTTTGTTCTGAATCTTTCTTTCCCTTTTCATGCTCAAAACCAAGTTTTTGTAAATGTGAATATTTAACTAAATTAATATTAAATTTTTGTCCGGGTATTGTATATGTTCAGACCATCAAAAATGCATCTCCTTTATAAGCTATGGAGCTAAACAATTTTAGTTTATCTTTTCTTAGATCCTAACTGTTGATCTAATTACATAGCAGATTGATAATATAATTAATATAATTAACATTTTTATAATTGAATTGAATTAGAAGTGATAATTATATTAGCAAATTACTCTAATTAAATTATTAGTATATAACCAGCTATACTTAAATCTACAGTATGAAATATTATGCAGATAAATTTTCTGATAATGATATGATTACATAATTGCAAATTAATAATAAATTAATATTTGATCATTTAAACAATAAAATGAAAGATTTTTGTTAATTTCAAAGATATAAGTATTATTAAGAGAAGTCCATCATTTATATTCTCAAGAAATGATAAAAGAATGTTAACCTGGATTCCATATTTTTGATGCATTTGTGTTTTAATTATAACAGATTTATTAATTAAAATTAAGAAATAAAAGTATTTATACATTTTTCTTCTCTGTATATTTATTGTTTTCTATCTACAATTTCTTTTTTTTTACTATTTGCAATAATTACTGTTATTATATTCTTTTGTCATATAATTATAAATAAATAGAGAATTAAATAATACTATTCTATTTAAATTTGGAAAAGTATAATGGTCTCAAGGGTTTTTGATTTTAATTATGCTCATGCAAGTACCAAAACTTTCGCCATTGGCTACACTTAGAGATAATTATATTATCATAAATATCGGGGCATATATTATTCTGTTATTAGTTATTTAAATTTATTAATAACGCTCCTCTAAGGTCAGGATATTTTTTTAAAAAAAAGAATACTACTTCATTTGAAATAAATTGATCATTAAAAATGATTTTGTTGATTAAAGTTAATCTTTCTTTCTTTTGTATTGATCTTATCCATTTCCATTCTAACCATTCTGAATGTAAAATAATTTGCAAAAAAAAAAATACAATTAATAATTTTATAAATTTAATAGGAACCTCCATTTGAAAAATAAACTACTGTTGTTAACTTAAAAAATTTTGAATGACACTGTATACCACATACGTGTTTGGAGAAATCATTATTGCAAATGATTTATGTAATAAATAAAAATAGATATATATATGTTGTGCCTCAGATCGATTCTTAACTCTGAGGCACCTCAGGTGACGATTCTCACCTGAGGTACCTCAGCTACGATCTGAGTCAAGAATCCGATCTCAGGCACAACATATATATGTAATCGATTTTAAATTGAACAATCATTTCCTTAATATGCATTCGGGTAATAATAAACTCTTCATATCCAAAAATAGGGAGATTTTTTTTTATGTACTTACTTATTTTTATATATATTCATGTAAATTTATAATCATTATTAATTATTAATTATTAATATTTATTATTTAATTTTATTAGTTTTTAATAATTAAATAATTATTTATTTTTATTTTAATTAATATAATTTATTAATTTATTTTTTTAATACTTTTCTATGTCGTAATAAACAAAAATACAATTGGCTAAGAAGTTCATCATGACTGATATCACGTTGTACTCCTTCTTCTTCACCTTTTTGATTTAATGAATTTTTATTTTCTAAATAATTTTGTTGTATTTCAAATTTTTCATCAGATGTTTTTATTATTGAATTATCATTACTGTTTTTGTTGTTATTATCGTTGATGATATTATTATTATTATTATTATTGTTGATATTATTATTATTGTTGTTGTTGTTTTCTTTAATTAATTCAGGATTGGAATTTTCTTTATTTATTTCATCCTTTAAAAATTTTAAAAAAATTAACATAATTAATATAATATAATTAAATAACTAATAATATAAAAGTAATATAATATTTTATTAAAACTTGCCAAAGTCTTTTTAATAAACATAAATTCCATTAATAAATTTCTTCTAATCACCAATCTATAAATCCCTCTCTTTAGTAATCCTAATTCATCTAATTCAATAATTTCTTTCCAATGCATTCCTTCAAAACATTTTATATATTTTTTTAATTTTAATCTTTCTAACCATTTTGGAAAATCTAAAAAAAAAAAAATAAAAAATTTAAAAATTTAAAAGTTAAATTAATAATAATAATAATAATAAATAAATAAATAAATAAATAAATAATGATAATTAATATTATATATAATAATAATGATTTACCTTCCAACAATTCAAAATTAACATTTCTATAATCTTGATATTTTATTTTATTTCTTTCACATCTCATGGTTCTTTTTCTTTTTTCTTGTAAATTTTGTTTCTCAATTGATTTCTTTATTGTTCTAATATTTAATTTATTTGATTGATTAAAAATAAAAATACCATTCTTATTTATAATATATTTTTTTTCATCATCATATTTACTTATGATTTCCGTCTTCAATCCATTTTTGAAATCATTTTTATTTTTATTATCATCATTATCATCATTAATTTTTAATACTAAATTTTTTAATTTATTTGAAAATAATTGTGAAGGAGTTGGCGATGTTAAAGGGAGAGAAATTGATGTTGATAATTGTGTTGATTTTGATTTAGATGATGGTGGATTAGTTAAAGAAATTAATTTTTGTAAATATTTTTGTCCACTTATTATATTATTAGTATCTTTATCTTTATCATTATTATTATTATTATCTTTAATATTATTATTATTATTATTATTATTATTATTATTTATATTTTTATCGTTTGTATAATAATAATAATAATGAAAAGAAGAAGAATTATTTAATGAATTTAACATAATTGATTTCAATGAATTTATTGAATGTATTGTTGTTGAATTAATTAAAAATATGGTCTTTTTAGGTTGAATATAAAAAGATTTTATTAATGAAAGATTTTGGTGCAGTAGCACAAGATAGAATAGATACATATTATTATTATTTTTTTTTTTTTGATTTGAAAGAAAAAAAGATTTCAATTAATTAATTAATCACAATTTTAAATTACAATATTACAATTAAATCAGAAAGAACACGGAAAAAAACACGGATCAAATGATTTTTATTTTTGGGAATTTATATGGAGTAAGACCACGTGTAACCAATAAAATTTTTTTAAAAACAAATCATCAAAAATTTTCAAATATATGCAGGTCACGTTATTACACTACAATTAATACATAATATATTTTTAATTTTTATAATTTTATAATAATCTTATAATTTTCGAAATGTAAAAAAAAAGATTGGTGTCGTGAGTTTTAAGTATTGTAGGCGAATAATGTGAGTATGACAGAAGTACGTATGACAGACGATGTCAGGCGGCAGGAATTTTAACCGAATGTATAAGAAATAATAAAATCAACAACAAATATCAACCTTTTTTGCACTCGACTCAGCCCGCAAAAAAAAAAAAAAAAATTCCCCCCTTTCTCCCATATTTCTCTTATATTATACTTTTGTTTTTTTTTTTTTTTTTTAGTTTTCAAAGAATGGAAAATTGGCCACCCCAGAATGGAGAATCAAGTACTACACCTCAATCGACAGATGTTGTTACCAAAGGCCAAACATCAAGTGAACAACCTTCTAACAGAGTAATCATGTTACTGGGACTTGATCCTAATACTACTACGGGAATGATATCAGTAAGTTTTTTTTTTTTTAAAAAAAAAAGGAAAGGAATTTAAGAAATGATCTATAAATAATAATAACAACTATAAATAATAATTACTATAAATAATAATGGCTATAAATAATAATAATTATAATTATAATAATAATAATAATAATAATAATAATAATAATAATAATAAACAACAACAATTATAATTATATAATTAGAAAGCATTTCGTGAACATGGTTTACAAGTAACGGTGGATTATCAAAGGGATGATACCATAGGTTATGTTCAACTTTATTTAGATATCGCCAAAGAAGTATCGGAACGTATTATGAGTAACGGTGGTTTAAGGATTGGTACAGATGTAGCAGTATTACGTGCATTAGAAGGTAAGAAATATATATTTATAAATAATAAAGATATTTAAATTTATTATAAAAATTTTTTTTGTACTTAATTAATATTTATCAACATTTATTACCAACAACAATTATTATATTTATCAAAATTTATTACATTTATCAACATTTATTAATATTTATTATATTTATCAATATTTTATTGAATTAAAATAAATAAATAAATATAAATATATATAAAATAAATGTAAATTAATAAATAAAATAAAATATAATAATAATAATAATAATAATAATAATAATCAGGAATGGAAGATTTAATGTATTGGTCAGTATATGCTGGTGCACATATAGTAACGGCAAGATCATCACCAGGAAATTGTAAAACTTCAGGAAAAGTTCGATATCAAAGACGTAATAACAGACAAAATCCCTATCAAATTATGGAATTAGAAGATGGCGTTGATACGTTATCATCATCATCAAAATATATTAGACAAAATCATCAACGAATGGCAAAACCTCAAAGGAGGAGAAAAAAGAAATCAGATAAAACATTGAATAAATCAGCATTAAAAAAAACAAAAGCTAGTACAAAGAAACGATTAAGTTTTATAGAAAACGAAGAATCCACTGCCAATACCACGCCATCATTTGATACTCTTGATGATCATTCATTTGACACTCCATCATTTGGCACTCCACCATTTGACACTTCACCATTTGATGTCGTTTTAAGAAATACTCTCACTTCCCCTGCTCATAATTTTATTAATAACGACAATAATAATATTATTAATAATTATAATAATAATAATAATAATAATAATAATAATCACATCAATCACATCAACATCAACAAGAGCAACAATAAAAATGGTATTGGAGAAATTCATTTACCAGAAAATAACCATTTATCTACAAAACTATCAACATTTAAATTTTCTACTAATACAATTAATACAATTAATACAATTGAACAAGGATTGAACAGTTCTTTATCATTATCATTATCATCATTTTCAGTTTCAAATCAAATCTATCCAACACTTGGTCAACAAGGTAAAAAAAAAATATCTCTTTTTTTTTCGTATTTCTTTAAAACAATAATAAATAATAATAATAATAATAATATAATTAATATTTTGATAATAATAATTTTTCTGTAGGAGAAACCAAATCATATAATTACGGATCATTAGTTCAACTACCTTTATGTCAAGAAGTATTTCTAAGAAATAAAGATGAAGCTGATGAAGTTGAAGAGAGATTAAAAAATTTACACCTCAATAATGTAATTCTCGAATGAATTGGAGGAATGGAAGAAAAAAGAAGTAAAATTGTGGGAGATCGAAATAATAACATTTGATTGTAAAAAAAAAAATAAAGAAAGTTTGTATTATTCATTCTATTATAATAGTCTCGTTGTTATTAAGAGGAAGGAAGTAATGGCATTAATTTTTTACTTGACAAAGATTACAAAGATTACAAAGTATGTCAATAAAAAAACAAAAAAGGACAAAGATACATTTTATTATATTTGTCAGAATATAAATACATTCAAGGAATCGATTTTTTAAGTGTCGGTTTTTTCTTTATTTTATTTTTTTTTTTTACTTTTATTTTTTAATATAATATTTTTTTTTTGGTTTCATCTGAAAATTCGATTCGATACAAACATAAGACACAACAAACTCAACAAACACAAACACAAACACAGGAATATTTATTCCCTTCCTGTTGAAAGACATTTTATTTGAACCAAGACATAAATTCATAATTTCATTAATGCGTAACCGAGATTTATCAATTTTTAATTAAACAATGAGAGTCAATCAATCAATCAAGTCCAATAAGTGTGTAATAATATTTTATTGATAATAATAATATTATTATTATTATTTTGGGAAATTCAATCCAATTTTTTTAATGATTCAACCTTATATTCTTCTTGTAATATTAAATTATCTTTAAAAAAATTCAATTCAATTTTAAACGAATATGGAAAAAAAAAACATTAAAAACATTGGGATCATAATTTTTTTGTCTATTTGTTGAAGTTGATAGTGAAGAGAATATTCTTCCCAAAGGTATGATTGTTTTCATTATTGATTTTATCTCATTTTATTTTAATTATTTCATTTATTTATTTTATTGTACTTTATTTTAAAACTGTGCAATAATTAAAATTAAAGATACGAAATTTCAAAATATCATACACATCTATTTGTACATATACTTCGATATACATATACATACAGTATACATATTATATATTTATTAATTGATTACTGATTATTGAATTTTAATGTTATGATTGATTATTTGATTGTAATCGTCTTTTTTAATTGATTATATGTATTATCATCCTAAATGAAGATAATTATAGATATTTGAATTTGAATTTGACTGCATTTATTGTGTCCATTATGATTATTATTACTTATTCACGTGACTTATCCAACGCTAGAAAAACATCTTCAGCTTTAACTTCCCAATTCACTATTTTTACTGTTTTCAAATTTTCCTTATCAAGTATTAAAGTATTATTAATTCCTTTATGGTTTGATTGTCCCATATTCATTTTTGAATATCCAAAAAGTTTTAGTCCTGTTACATAATTCCAATCATAATATAAAGTAAAAAGACAATCCACCACTTGAGGTGTATTCATTGATGGTAAATTTATATTTTCTAAATTAAACATCATTTGTTGTTCATTAAATTTGGGAAGTCCAACTTGAATATTAAGAGGTTTTGCAATTAGTGTTCGAGCAAAAATTAATAACTAAAAATAAATAAATAAATGAAATATATATTATTTATATTTAATAAATAAATTATTTATCAGGAAAGAGTAGAAAGAAGAGCACCTTGATGATCCATCCTTCTTGATAATCACCAAATCCTTCCTTTATAACAATAGGAATAATAGAATACCATTGTTTGCATGTACGTCTCAATTTCATCAAATTCTTAAAGCTTTTTTTTTAAAAAAAAAAAAAAAAGTAATGTTTTTATAAATTTCTGTAAAATTTTAAATTATAATGAAAAATTCTAATTTTTACCCAGTTTCTTCAAGCGCTATGGAAAGAATAATTAATAAAATTTCATTTGGTAAATTAGACATTTTGTAAAAGATAAATTTGAAAAAAAAATAAATAAATAAATCTTTTATCTTTTATCTATTTAATAACTACGTAATTTTCATTAAGTCAGTCGGCAGCGACTTTCACCGCCGATCATTTTGTCGTTTCAAATACAGCGCGGAACCCTAAGATAGAATCAACTAAAACTTTATTTTCCAAATATAGAATAAAAATTCTCAAAATTATCGGTTAAAATTTTAGTCTGATTTAAGTTTTACTGGAGTTGAAATTACAGTATTTAATTATACCTATCAAAATTGAGAATATATTAAAAATAGTAAACCATTGTAATTTTGATTGAAAAAAGAATTTAATTTTCAAATTCATAATCTGATTTAATCATGTGATTCCATATTTCGAAATAATAATTGGCTAAAATCTCATCATGTATGCTTACATAAACCATAAAAATTATAAAAAATATTTTTTTCCGTAAATAGATTTATCTAAATGTATATACTCTAACTTCATAATATAAATTAAATCTAATTGCTAGATTGAATCTTATTTAAGATTTTCCAATTTAGAGGTTACGCATTGTATAATCTATACGTGTTGCCCAAATCCCAAATCATTTGGGATTTGGGATGCCAAAATTCCAAATTACTAGTATTTGGGATTT